AGTCTCAAGAATCCAAGTTCAATCCTTTTTGAACAATACCACTCTTAACCAATCTGACCATGATTCTGCTTCCCCTTGCTTCATTCCCCTCATGCCAGCCAGAATTTTGGTCATGCTCTTTTTTCCCTTCAATACTTTCCTGGAGGCATAATTATCCATGGATTTAAGTCCTGAAGAAATGCTTGTCTGCTAGTTGTCATCATCACTGTTATCTCCCTAGTCCCTGCCAATCCTCAGCACCTAGCAGATCTCAGACGTTTAGAGACTACAGTTACATGAGGTGCCTGCTGAGATGTATTGAGATTTTTTTTGAGTAAGCTTGTACCACAGAACTCTAGGAGGAGGAGGAGGAGGAGGAACTAGGACACAGGTGTAATGACAGTAGTCAGTCATATATAACATTTATTGAGGACTTAACATGTATCATATCTGACATTAAACATTTTGCATGCATTGTCTCCTTTAATTCTCAAACTATACCTATGAAATACCTATGGGTATTATCTACCTTTTGTGAATAAGGAAACTGAAGCTGAGTCCTGCTGGACCCTGGGTGAGGAGTCAGTCTGTGGTCCTGGTGGGGCCTGCTGGAGTGACACTGTGCCTCCCTCCCTCCCAGGGCCCTTCAACTCATTGTCACCTGACCCCAAGGGAGTGTGTTAATGGAGAAAGTCTCCATGGTCAAATGATCACTGTGTCTATAGCTGTGCCTTAGACTCTACCATGAGCTTCTCACAAGTCGCCAAGATATGTTCCCAGTTCAGAAATTAGTGTCCTGGAAGCTCATTTGCTGTTTGGCATGTGAAGTGTACTTTCCCATCAAAACCGTGGTGTAAACGTTGGTCAGATTCCCGCACTGGCCCGGCAATCCTTCCCCTTTCAGCCCTAACATATCTCTCCTTTGGTACTAGTACTATTGTGGTGCTAGTCCCCCTCCATCTACCTACTGTCTAAACATCATTTCAGTGGGAAAATTAGTGAGTTTCAAGGCAGGATGCCAGACACACATCCTTTTCCTCTCAACAGTGGGGCTGGGGACTACCTGGTCTTCCATAAGAGTGACAATGGGCACGCCTTGCCCTGGCCCAGGTCATAGGGATCCATGGCACAGGGCCCTGGCTACATGGGGGTTTCCAGCTGTGCCACAGGTACATGGGAACCTGCTGAAGGTGCTGTGCATGGAGCTGTGGGGACATTCAGGGAGGTGGGGTCTTGGGGAAAACAACCTAAAGTCAGGTACAGAGTCCAATTATATAACCTGGTAAAACATAATAAAATTAAGTCACACATCCTTTTGACCCAGTAGTCCCCGAAGAAATCTAGCCTCAGAAGTAAAAGAATAAAAGTAATAAACAAAAGGAAATAAGGACTCACCCTCCCACCCCCAACACCGTGACATTGCTTTTAGTAGTAAAATCTAGAAAACAACTTAAGTGCCCATCAATAGGCAAATAAATAATTGTCCATGTTTGATATGGAGTATTAGGCACCTATTTAAAATTCCACTTGATTTAGGGGTAAGGATGCCTATGAGGTATGTAACATGTAAGTGAAGGCATCAACAACTATAACCAGAAGCGAACAAGGGAATCCCCCCGTCTCGGTGCCTGTGATGCTGAGTTGCTATGTGTGTGGAGAACCAGGGCTGTGACTCCTAACAGGGTCAACGGGGTGCCTCATGGAAGAAGTGCAGAGGGGGATTGTAGATTGTATTTTCTTTGTGCCTCCTTGGTGTGTTTCACATGTTTTTGAAATGCATGTTGCTTTGTATAAGTATAAAGATGGAGTTAATAGTAGTTCTTAGACTAGTGGGAGCTTCAGAGATAGCCTGTAAGCAGAGGAAGGAGCAATGAAACAAGGAAGGCAGACATTCCTGAGGAACAGCAACTTCTCTGCAGTATCTGTTCCCATCAGCAGAGAAAACAGTCTTCTTTTTTGGATCAAATATTTTGTTCTGACCTGGGGAGCAAAGGTCAGCTTCACTTCCTGCCCCCCTCCCCTCCCAACACACACACACACACACACACACACACACACACACACGGGAGTGTGACGAGGGTGTGACAGGCAGGAGTCTGAGAGCTCTGGAGGATATTATTTTTATATGTAAGGTGCCAAGGCATGGGATCTTCTTTCACATTTTATTTTTCAGTTTCAGTTGACAATACAGTGTTATATTAGTTCTGAGTGGGCATGGGATCTTAAGCTACAGATGATTCCTTGGAGCGGGGAGTCCATTAAGCTGTTTGCACCTTAAATGAGACTTAGCTTATCGGGACATTCTCTTATATTCCTTGTTCGTGATTTGGCAGAGTGACCCAAGAAACATGCCAAATAGAGATTAAATAATACTTCTGTTAGATGATTTATATCTTTGTGAACAAACATTTCCCAGCTTTGTTTGAGTATTGAAGAGTCCTCTGCTCCTTTTGGTATTTTGATCACATAATATCATCATCATCACCACCACCGTCATCACTAATGCACAGAGTGCTTCTGTTCCAGGCTCTCCCTAAAAGCTTTATCTCCATTATCTCATTTGTCTGCATGACAATCCTGTGAGGTAGGTTCTATTATTATTCTTCTTGTACAGATAGGGAAACTGAGCCAGGATTCGACTCCATGATAAATGACTCCACACCCCATACTCGTTTTAAAAAATATATATTTTTATTGATTTCAGAGAGAAAGGGAGAGGCAGAGAGAGATAGAAATATCAATGATGAGAGAAAAATTATCTGTTGGCTGCCTCCTGCTCACCCCACACTGGGGATCAAACCTGCAACTGGGCATGTTCCCTGACTGGAATTGAACCGTGACCTCCTGGTTCATAGGTCGATGCTCAACCGCTGAGCCATGTCAGCCAGGCCACCCCCTACATTCTTAATACACTCCTGTTGCCACAGATTTGGCAGTGCTCACACCAACCATCTGAAATCAAATAGTGATGAATCTACAGTAACATATTTGGGTTCCCCCCAAATCAATTGATTCGTCTATGAGGAGGCATGCCCAGATTGGAAACAGCCCCTCTGTAAAGCTGCGGAGGGTTTTTAGCTGGTTTTGAGCTTAACTGGAGTCAGCATTGTGACGTAGTTATTAAAACAGCCGTCTCATGCTGCTTTTATAGAAGTCCAAGCTATAATGTTCTTAAGTAACAGGCCTATCATACTCTGTTGTTCAAAACCCATCAGGGATAGTTTTTCCTATAGATAATACCTTTTAAAAATAAGCAGTATGAGCACAAATGTGTCCAGAGAAGCATGACAAGAAATTTTCCAGCCAGTCTTAGTTTGCACTTACTGTAGGCCGGCGCACCGCTGAGCACTGTACAAGCATTGTCTCATTTATTTCTCACGAGGGCTCTAGGAGGTATGCACTGTCTTTCACAGATGAGAAATGAGACTCAAGGTCCTCCAGAATCTTTCCCTGGGTCGCACAGCTGATAAGCAGAGAGCTGGGGTTTCATACCAGGCTTGTCCAAAACCCACTGCCTCTAGCCAAGGCCCAGGAAACTGTGGCCTGCAAGCAATAGTCTTGCAGGAAGTTCAGGATGAGCTCAAAGAAAATGCGACTTTGGGAAGAAACCCCCTAATTGTCTCTGGCATCTGGATAAATGTCTTACAGAGACATGTTTTGTCTGATCCACATAGTTGCTTATTTTCTTTTTAATATAATAAAATTTTACATAATGATCCTTATTTGCTACTTTTCTTTAAAAATTACAAGCAACACTAACTAAACTTGATTGTCCAGCTTCTTTGGCTTCAGAGAACTTCCTTCAATTAAAAGGCACAGGCCTGCCAGTTCCTTACCGTGCCGTATGGAATCCCCCACCTGTGTACTTGATCCTTTATCAGTGGTTCTCAACCTTCCTAATGCCGCGACCCTTTAATACAGTTCCTCATGTTGTGGTAACCCCCAATTTCATTGTTACAAATTGAACATAATTAAAGCATAGTGATTAATCACAAAAACAATATGTAATTATATATGTGTTTTCCGATGGTCTTAGGCGACCCCTGTGAAAGGGTCGTTCGACCCCCAAAGGGGTTGCGACCCACAGGTTGAGAACCGCTGCTTTAAGTTATTCAGCAGCTCCAGGGGAGATGGAAGGCGCAATTGTGTTCCGTCCAGTTCCAGAAAGCAGTAAGCAGAAGGGAGGCCAGTTTCCTCAGCAAAAGCCCTTTGTATCAAGTAGAGCTAGTTGCATATTTAAACCAAGAACCTCATGAGGCAGCGAGATTCTCATCTGTAGGACTAGTCTCGTGAAGCTTGGATCTGTCAGAGATCCTGTGTAGGTTTAGAGGCTGACGTGGATGACCTCTATGATGGCATTTGGCCCTCACTTCATAGGCCTTTAATATCTGTCTTTAGGTTTCAAATCCCAGCTAGAACATTTTCTTGTGGAGCTATTTTCTTTTAGGAAAATAATACCTATCAAATGGAAGAGAAAATTGGTGCTGTGTGTGCATGTTCCCCACCAAACAGGTATTAGTCATAAAATATAAGCTAGAAAGAGCAGATGACTGTAGCCAGGTATTTTCTTCAGTCAGGATTTTCTTTACGTTCAAGTAGCTGGATCTTGTTTTCTGCCTGTTAATTTTCTTGCAAGCTATTGCAAGGTTCTTGCAGATGGACATGTATAAATAATGTTTGAATCTTCAGGGGAAGGGGCTTCTTGAACAGTTCTAACACTGGCATGTTTGAAAGGTTTCAAGAGAATACTTCAAGGTAGGCTCAGCACATAAAAAAGACTAATTGGCCCTGACCGGTTTGGCTCAGTGGATAGAGCGTCAGCCTGCAGACTGAAGGGTCCCGGGTTCATTTCTAGTCAAGGGCATGTACCTTGGTTGCAGGCACATCCCCAGTAGGGGGCATACAGGAGGCAGCTGATTGGTGTTTCTCTCTCATCGATGTTTCTGATTCTCTATCCCTCTCCCTTCCTCTCTGTAAAAAAATCAATAAAATATATATTTTTTAAAAAGACTAATTGTAGGGATAATTGATAGATTTTCTTGTTTATAAAACATCAGCCTTGCGCAGGGGGCATGCTAATCTTCTCTGTATCGTTCCAATTTTAGTATATGTGCTGCCGAAGCGAGCACAAAATATATATTTTTAAAAAAGACTAATTGTAGGGATATTTGATAGATTTTCTTGTTTATAAAACATCAGTGAATAAATGGTGTGATGATGATTGGAAAATAATGATATGTAATATTCTTAAGTTTTAAGTTTTCTGTAGTTATAGTTAGACTAGAGGCCCAGTGCATGACATTCGTGCAATGGGTGGGGGAGGGGGGTGGGAGGATTCTTCAGCCCGGCCTGCGCTCTCTTGCAGTATGGAACCCCTCGGGGGATGTCCAACTGCTGGCTTAGGCTCACTGTTGCACTCACCAGCCAGAAGCCGGGCTTGCTGCTCTTTAGCACTGCCTCAGAGGTGGGAGAGGCAGTGCTAAGAAGCTGCGCTCACCAGCCATGAGCCCGGCTTCTGGCTCCTATGTTGAGCATCTGCCCCCTGATGGTCAGTGCGTGTCATAGCGACCAGTCATTTTGCCATTCGGTCAATTTGCATATTAGGGTTTTATTATATAGGATGTGTGAACATACATGCAATGTTTGAATAATATATCTATAATAAAAATAGTATTTATAATTTTGCGTATGATATTTGCACAGTTAACATGCATGACATTACAGTGTTCTGCCTTGTGATAGAGTGATTTGTGTTCACAGGATGTCACCCCAACTAGGATGGCAGTTTTTCATACAAAATAGGTGTCTTCATTTCTCTTCCCTACTTTAGCTGAGTATTTTAAGCCTGATAAATTTTGTTGAATAGAATATGAAAGATGACTTTTAAAACCTTGATTGTTCCCAAACTTTCCCACCAGCATGTATAGAACACCTTTTAAATTGTGCCAGGGTCCTTAAGTTGGAGTAGGAAGGGACTGTGAATGAGGGAAGCAGAGGCACGTGTAGAACAATGTAAGCACGAGGTCGGTGATGGGTCACATTTGGCCTCGGTGCTGGGGAGAGCAAGTGTGATGGATCTGTCTTTGCTCTTGGTACTCAGCGTGCTTTTCTGTATTATTCTATGCAGATTTCTGGATTGCAGGTCGGGTACTCTAGGTGAATTAAGCTCTGCTAGTTTGATGCGCTGTATAAGATTTGGAAAACGGGATCGGGAGCATCTGTCTCTTCTTGTTTCGCTTGGCAAGTAGGGTTGCAGGTTATAGAGAGGTAGCGGTAGCAGGGCACTCACCTTCTGATCTTTGGATCCCAGATTCAGCATTGCATTATTGAAGAGCTAGGACTCAAGATTTTAATGTGAAGTAAATTGATTTTTTAAAAAGATATCTTTGATGTTAGAATACTTTTAGATATACATAAAAGTTACAAAGATAGTACTGAGAGTTCCCATATATCCCACACACAGTCTTCACTATTATTAATATCCTACATTGGTGTGGTACCTTTGTTAAAATGATTGAACTAATATTAGTACATTATTATTAACAAACATCCCTACTTTATTCAGATTTCCTTGCCTTTCACCTCGTATCCTTATTCTGACCCAGGATCCCATCCAGGGGACCACTTTACATTTATACTCCCTTTGGTTGTGACAGTTTCTCAGACTTCCTTCCTTTGGATGACCTGGACAGTTTTGAGGATACCTGACTGGTTGGGATTTAGCTGATGTTTTTCTCATAATTAGACTGGGGCTATGGATTTGTTGTGCTATCGTCATCACATCATATCAGCTCAGCGTGAATTGTCACTGATGATGTTAGCCTTGATCACCTGGCTGAGGTGGTGTTGGTTAGGTGTCTGCACTGTAAAGTTGTTCTCTCCGCCCCCCCCCCCCATACTGTATTCTTTGGAAGGAAGTCACTGTGCACAGCCCATACGTACAGAGGGGAATACGCTTCTTCACCTTCTGGAGTGGAGAATCTACATCATTTATGTGAAAGTCCTGCTTGGGAGATTTTTCTTTCCTCCCCCATTTGTGACTGTATTTGATCATTTGTTTATATCAGTATGGACTCATAGGTATTTATATCATATTTTGAGTTATAATTTAATACGTTATTTAGTTACTCAAATTGTTCTCACTTTGGCCATTGGGAACTCTTTCAGTTGGTTCCCATGTTCCTTTGTTATATTCCCATTTTTCAGGTTGCTTTTTTTTCCCCAGCACTTTCTTATTTTCTGGTCCTACAAGATAGTTCAGGCTTATCTTGTATATTCCCTGCCATAGACCTAGAATCAGCCACTGATCAGTTGATTTTTAAATCTTGCCTCAAAAAAAAATGTTTTTGTAGTAATGGGCTAAACAAACAAAACATCCATGGGCTGGCTCAGAGCTGTACTGTCTCTGCTGGCAGACTCTTCAGTCTTACTCTGTCCAACCTCACCTTCCTTGCTCTCTCTCTTCACTTCTAAATTCAGTCTGTTCTCATTTCATTAAGGTAGAGATGACTGTCCATAGTTCTCTTATTTAAGAGCAGTCATATATTAAGATAAACCAATCCCTCAGAAGGCAGGTTAGCAGATTCAGAAGAAATAGAGTAATCCTGAACCCATCTCCTCCAAAACAACCAGGTCCACTTGTAAACAGAACAGACAGATAAAACAGGACTCAATTTGCAATAAAACGTAGTCAGTGCCACAAGTAGGCAATGTACATCTGTGAAGTCGAGGCAGCACAAGACAAGAGCAGGCAGTGGAGCGTGCGGGGCCCCAGTGGGACCGTGGCCTCTGTGGGAGTGGGAGAGCACTGGCATCACCTAGGCAGGCTGACCACCAGTCAGCCCGTGTGAGTGCTGCCCCGCGGGAAAGAGGGCTCGGTGTTGGCAGGTCTTCACATTTTGAAAAGAAACTCAAACATTTAAAAAAAAAAAGGCCCTAGTGAGTTTGGCTCAGTGCATTGAGGCTTGGCCTGTGGACTGAAGGGTCCCGGGTTCAATTCCGGTCAAGGGCACATGCCCGGGTTGTGGGCTCGATCCCCAGTGGGGGGTGTGCAAGAGGCAGCTGATCAATGATTCTCATCATTGATGGTTCTCTCTCTCCCTCTCCCTTCCTCTCTGAAATCAATAAGAATATTTTTTAAAAAGAAAGAAAGGAGAAAAGACAGCTAATATCCTTTGAGATTCCAACATCGTTTGGGCCACCAGTTTGCGACCTTGGCAGGGGAGGATGTTGCTGACAGGCTCGCAGTAGAATTTCAGACACCGCACTGGGCAGTTTCTGGAGCCTCTTCCCTAGACCCAGGGCCCTTGTGGGAGGCCTTGGGTCAGACAACAGGGGCAGCTGCTGTTGTCTTCAAGGGAAGGCCAGCTCCAGCCCCTCCCTGTGATATTTCATCAGCACTACCACTGGGAAAGCCGGAACCACAGGACTTAAACAACAACTTGGCCAGCAGATGTGCTCCCTCGCTCTGTTTCCTGCGTTTTTTTTTTAAATTCTGAAAACATTCTCAACCATCACAGCCTAGCTGAAGGCTATGGGACTCAGGGTTGCACTAACATAACCGTCATTACTAACTTAGACGGGCACTTAGAGAATAGTTGACTTGGTGCATTTAGTGGGTAAGGTTGTGGGGCACAGAACCAACTTCTCCCCTGCTGATCCAGTGCCTGGGAGCCCGCCCCCGAATACTCGCATTTGGGGACCTTCAGCCATTGTCCCTCTGGAGGCTTAGTCAGGCCTGTAAAGTCTTCTCTGGGCACAAAGAAAGCCATGTTGGGAGGCTGGGCCTCTGGGTGACTGTGCTTCCCTGTCATCCCCACGCCCCAAAGCCTAATGAGCAGCCAGGCCGGAGGGGATCCCCCGGATACCACCTGCCCTGCTGTTTCAGGATTAATGGAATGAAGTGATGCAGCAAAAATGCCATGTCAGAACCTTATGCTCCCGCTCCTCTCGGTGTCATTTAGCTAAAGAAACCGTAAACAAAAAGGAAGAAGAAGAAAACAGCTGGTGGTATAATCCCCGCTCTGTTCTTCAGAAGAAAGCCAGGGGAGAGGGAGTCCTCATTTTCACATCTTAGAGGACTCTATTGGCGGAAACTTCTGGGGAAGACGTCTCTGTGTGCGTAGCTCTAATTCCAGCTTTCTGGCGAGATGTTAGAGCCGGATTTAGCCACAGCCCCTCCCTCGCCCAGGTGGCCCTCTGTGACCTCGAGAGAACACTTTACTTCAAACAACTCAATTTCAGGGGTTTCCTAGCTCTTTCTAAACCCAGCAGTAAGGAGCACATTCTATTTCCCCGGCTTCAGGAGAAGGGAAACTGAATAAACACAGGCCGTCTGGTGCGGTTGGGGCCTGAGCGCACAAAAGCAGATCCTGACATTTGAGTTATATCCACTGGCAAACAGCACTCAGTATTTCTTGACAAATTTCAAATTTTGCTCTTGAGGGAGGAACTGTAGTTGCAACTTAGTTTGTTCAAAGACATAGAATGAGGCACTCAAATGTGCCCTCAATAATGCTGGGGTTTGCAGAGGGTGACAGCAAGTCGGAAAAGCCAAGGATGTTAATGGCTAAAGCACATGAACAGGTTATTCACTTTCTCTTTGAACTCTATACCTCTCCACCTTCTGGGGATTGGCTACCCCTCCTGAGGAAGCAAATCGGTCATGGTTTAGAGCCCAGACTCTGGCTGGAGGAGTCCCGTGTGTCCTGCTGTCTCTTAGCTTCAGGCTCCTTTAAAAAAAGGTTCACCTCAAGCGTGTGCTCAGAGCTAAATGGACCCGAATGGTGCAGAAAACTGGAGAAATGGGGGCTGAACCCAGGGTGAGATTATTACGATGTCAAATAGCACTTTTAAGAAAGTCTCAAATTCTGGAAGGCCACCTCTGGGGTTTGGGGATTACAGATTTGTCATAAACTTCATGGCTGAGTCATGATGTGGGAAGCTAGTATCTAGCTTTATTCAGTAAATGTTATTGAGATCCTCTTTCATGTTAAAAAAAATCAGAATACATATTCACTCTAAAATCATTTAGAGCCAAATACCAGGACTTTTGTGTCTGAATACCAAGTGTTTTGTTTAGGTTAATAAAAGTGAACATTTGTTTCATGTTTACCATGTGCCAGGCACT